CGGCTAGCACAGATAGCCCTCGTGTAGCTTTGCGCGAAATTCAAAACAAACAATTTACGACATAAAATTTTATCAAATGTTACAATACTGATAGGAATACAGGTGTTTGTCAACCGCTTGAACTATACTAAATGATCTTAAGAAGGTAAGTTTCAATTCCCAGCTCCGAACTATAGCAAAAAATAAGAATCTTTTAAACTTTCGATCAGTCTCAATTTTTTTATTTTACCCTTTTTGGCGAAAATTATAATACAAACTATAATAATCGTTTAAATTAGGCTAATCACAAAACAGTTTAACATCTTTTTAACTGAAACCATGAAAACGGACACTTTTTGTTTTCCCCAACTACACCCAACAATAATCAAAAATAATATTTATCAATGATAGTCCTGCCTGGCAGGAGGGTAGTATCTAGCAAGCTTCGATCTATCATTACCAAAGAATGCGTTTGTTAAGTAAAATTGTTTACGATATGGACACTACAGTTAAGAAAAGGTTAAATATTACGTGTAAAAACTAATTTATCCTAATATGATATCCATTTATATATAAACTAATTGCACGTGGGTTAATTTTTGATGACGTTAGAGACTGTGTTTAGTGATATATATAATGCCCGTTTTTATCTCTAGTTTGTTTCTTGTTGTTTTTTACTTTATCATAGTGTTGATGATTCATATTCAGTATTTCGTTTAGTAGTTTGTATATTTAACAGATTTAACCTTCATGACACAACGTTGATTATCTTTGAATTGAAATAAAATTTGTTTATGGGTTGGCTAAGCAGTTGAATATAAGGTTTAGAACTCCTCTTGTGACTTTAACAACCTTATGGAACAATGTCAGTTTCGCGACAGGCTTCATCAACCATCAAATATGTGTGTGTATGTTTGGGAAGGGTGGGGCTTATTTACTGGAGAAGAATGAACAAAGAAGAGTTTGATGTAAACATGATGGAAAGATGTTCAATATCAGATCATTCCTTTAAAATGATTTTATGGATTTAATTTCTCTCAAGTACTCTTTTTTTCAGAACTTGTCTTTAGAGTATAGACGCTAGTAATTCAATACAACTTACCAAACTTTTCTATTTATCAAAATCGCCTATTTTGGAAGAATATGTCTTAGGAAGAATGACCGACATGTTCTAAATTTAGTATTTACCTTTTACTTGATGTAACTCGGTGTTTTTTCTGTGCATTTCAAACACAGTTAAGTTTCATAATGATGTGAATATGCAAAGGGATTTCTTGTGATTTCATTTTAAACATATTGCGTTTTAGTTAAAATCTTGCGAGTTTCGAAGAAAAAAATGTTTTTAAGGGGGATTTTAGTCTAATCGACAAGTTTTGTTATATGCTTCATGTGATAATCTGACAAAATTTCTCTAACACGCATCTTTTTTGAAATATTTTGAAACGATAATTGTAAACATAGCCACTCTAATTTCATTTTCACTTTTCTTTTCTTCCAATAATGCAAAATATATACTAGATAAGCTAAATTGCTGGCGTAGATTTTTCAAGTAGCTAAAGTGAAAGTAATGTATTGCCTTGTTAAAACAAAATCATTCTTACTGCATAGAGATCAGCATGACCTTCATACCATCGGAGAGCCACTTCTGATCCTACCATTTTCGGCAGTCGTCGACGTATTGTTTTTTTGGGTGTTACCTGGTCTTCCATGATGGCTGATTATTTGTTTGTTGTGAATTTCGCGCAAAGCTACACAAGGGCTAGCTGCGCTAGCCGTCCCTAATTTATCAGTGTAAGCCTAGAGGAAAGTAAGCTAGTCATCACCACCCACCGCCATCTCTTGGGCTACTCTTTTACCAACGAATAGTGTGATTGAAAGGGCTGAAAGGGCGAGCATGTTAGGTGTGAAGGGGATTCGAACCTGCGACCCTCAGATTGCGAGTCGAGCGCCCTAACCACCTGGCCATGCCGGCCCCCCATGATGACTGATTGCATTTCCATAGTAATGACTTTGCCGTGATTTCTTTATACTCACTTTTATTTTTGCTTGAAAATTACGAGTGTCCAGTAAAACTTCTAATACCATATTTTCTTTTACATCTTAAAGTGATTATCAAATGAGCTGTTAGAAAAATCAGAATTGCGGAAATCGAGCCGAGTAGTTAACAATTACATTTATAAAACAATCGTGAAAATGTGCATTGTTTCATACAATTAAACTTGTAAATCAATAGAGCATATCTAAGCAACCACAATTGCTTCTAATGATAGTAGAAACATTATTGAAAATATAAATTCGTATTCTTACAAATAACTACCATTAGTTGATGGATCTCAACCCAAGTATATTAATTTCAAAATGTAATACTATATATATATAGTAATACCTGGTAATACCTCATGAAAATAATTTAGTATTTTATTTCCTGGAACAAAAATAAATTTTGCCCACTTTTTTATTTCTAGTGGATTATCTTGTTTATTTCATTCCCATGATGTACAATTTCTTAGCTTTTCTTCCCAGTATCATCTATCTTATCTGCAAACTTTTATCCATTTTCAAACATATTTTCAATGATTTTCTTCTTTCTGCTATGCCTCTAAATAGTATCTTTAATATTTATTTATTCATTCCTTCTTTACATTCGTTTATTATGTAAAAATAATTACTTCAATATTTCGTATTTTCTTCAATAATCGACTGTTCTATTTCCTTTACTTTCTTTTTTAACTATTTTCTTGCCTCAAATCTACCCCCCAGTGGCAGAGCGGTATGTCTGCGGACTTACAACACTAGAATCCGGGTTTCGATACCCGTGGTGGGCAGAGCACAGATAGCCCATTGTGTAGCTTTGTGCTTAATTACAAAACAAACAAACAAACCTCACATTTTTTTACGATATCTACCATCTACATCTATCTCCCTGTATTAATTAAATTATTTTTATCATATTATACCGGTATGTATCCTTCATATTATTTTTTTACGCGTGTAACTAAATCCTTTTTTTTGCGTCTGATATACTCCTTTTATCCTATTTTTAATTTCCTCTTCTACCGCTTTCAGTTAGTGACCCGTGAATTCCTACTACTACTACTGTTCAACTTTCCTGTAATCTATTCTCTGATCCTCGTGCTTCATCACTGACCACCTTCTATTTAGTTTACAGTATTTCATACTTGTAATATATTCATTGTTTCTTTCTGCTCCTCCGACTGCGACTACTTTCATTTTATTTCTTTTACACTTTACTTTCCTACAGCGGGGTAGACACTGGTACCTTTAAACAAGATACCATGGAAATCGCTCTATGTTTAGAAGATAGGCCGCGCAGCGCTAACAGTCTTCTTCGTTTCTAATAGCGGACAGACAGTCTGAGGTTATATAAAAATCGAGTTGCGCGACTAACTGCTATACGCCAAGACACATTGACACGAAAAAAAAAAAAAAAAAACTTTAGACGGTATGTAGTCTGGGCGCATGCGGTATGTGACTTGATAACGGAACCGCTGCTTTCCAAGTGTCTGAAGACGGGGTTAGGTTTAGCCAAAAGACGGTAGTTTAGTGTAATGTGGGCCAATAATTTCTATTTTCGGTTGCAGTCTACAATTGCTGCTTGCTGATATTAGGGAACTTGCTAACTTGGCAAACGAAACGAGAATGAATCATGAAAACCGCCAGTTTAATTCCGACCACTTTTCGTCTCAAGGTCAAACACAGCTCATCAGGACATTTTGAACTGCTCATGCTTACTTGCGATGCTTCGTGAAAACGGTTGCTAATTTGAATACTATACTTTTTGTTTGAGCTAATGGCCTATAT